ACAGATGCAAAGCCAAACCATATTTTCAGAAGATCAACCCGAGATTGAAGAAAGCACCACTAATTTAGCAAGTGATTTTTCGATGAAATGGAAGAATAACCCACAATTTAGGACAAATTCAAAAATTTTAATTTTGTACAAAATTTTGGATCAAATTTTCCTAACATAGAAGAAGCAACACCTGTGGAAATATTAAAAAAATATTTTAAGATGAGTTACTAAACAAGATTGTTGAGGAAACCAATCTGTATGCAAGGCAAAATAGGCATAATTTTTCAATTGAGATAGACGAACTCCAAGCTTTTTTTGGAATCCTAATAATCATAGGATTTCATCAACTTCCTGGGATAAGAATGTATTGGTCTTATGACCAAAATTTTCGAGTGGATAGAATCGCAAACATTATGAGCGTAAAGCGTTTTTTAGCGATTCTACGTCACATCCATTTGAACGACAATGAAAAATGACCAAAAAAGGTGAAAATAACTTCGATAAACTTCATAAATTGAGACCACTTATCGACCATCTAAATACAGAATTTAAACTTTTATTTTCACCATCCAGAGAGCTTTCAATAGATGAAAGCATGGTAGGCTTCAAGGGGCGCTCAACTTTGAAGCAATACATACCCATGAAGCCTGTTAAACGAGGCTTCAAAATTTGGGTTATGACCTGTGCACGAACAGGTTATATGCTTTTATTTAAAGTATACGAAGGAAAGAAAACCAGTCACATTGAGGGTACATTGGGTGAAAGAACTGTTCTGCATTTGAGCGAGTCATACCATTTCAAAGGTTATGCTTTATACTTTGATAATTTTTTTTCCACAATTGACTTGCTGTCCAATTTACTACATAAGAATACATTTGCCTGCGGTACTTTCAGAATAAATAGAAAGCATTATCCCAAGAACCTTTTGCTAAATGATAACCAATTGAAACTGGGTGAATCTGATTTTGTAGGAGATGAGTACAGTGGAATATCAGTTTGCAAATGGCATGACAGAGGCAAAAAGTGTGTGGTCGTAATTAGTTCTCTTCATGATCCTTCATTGAAAGTTGATGTTGTTCGAACAAACAAAGAAGGAAAAAAAGAGAAAGTACCCTGTCCACAATCAGTAGCTGAATACAACAAATTCATGGAAGGCGTTGATCTTTTTGATCAATGTCTTGCTTCCTACTCCATTTCATGGAAAAGTCGTAAATGGTGGATGAAATTTTTTTTACCTTTTAGATTCTGCGATTGTGAACACATAAATAATGTACACAACATCAATGGCCGCTGAAAGAAAAAAGCCATGTCTTATTTACAATTTCGATGGATACTAGCCAATGAACTAATTGGTAATTTTTCCGGTAGAAAACAAAGAGGTGCACCAACTACTACAAGCAAAAACAAAATGCGTAAAATTGGTGGACGTTCTATTTCTACCAATAATGTTATTAGAAAAACGAATGTTGGGGTGTATTTACCAGTAAAGGGGAAGTATAGGCGATGTGCACGTTGCTCCACCAAATCAAATGTGAAGAGATCAAAAATAGCATGTAGTGAGTGTAATGTTGGTCTGTGTTTAGAATGTTTCGCAGAATTTCATAAAACTGGGTAGATTTTTATTTTGAACAGTCGCTATTTAGAATTTGTAGAAATGTTATGTTTGTGAATTTCCCGTTTTAATTTGTCTCATCTTTAAATAAATATATTTTGAAACATTTTTGTGATTTATTTATATAAAAAATAAGTGGCTATATGGCTAGCCACCAAACTCTAGATGTTATTGGGTTTTCAGGACGGTTTCGAAAAAAAAAAAAATAAGAAAAAATAATTTGCGCGTTAAAGGGTTAAATTGATTTTCTTATCGAATTATTAATAAAAATCGTTCAAATACCCCGCCGAAACAAAACACCCATCGGCGCTCTTGTTTCCGAACATAATTTACCTTGACTCAGTTCGTATTGGATGCACCGTTGCAAATTCAAATAGTATAATTGAACTGATGCTGGTGCACAAAGCAAGCACATCGTAGCTCTGAAATTTCAAATTCCGTAAATACTCCAGTCGAGCGATATTAACTTATCACCTGCGAGAACAGAGCACTTTTTACCCGTTTAGTGTAGAGTAGAGTAGCAGTCTCAATTCTCATTTTCGGTCAGTCGACAACTCAGGTTTGCTGAAACTCGGTGCTGCGTTAGATGATTACTGCGATTCGTCGCATGAATATGTTTCGCTCGAATGTAGAAACGTTGTGCTTGTGGAAAAACTAATTAAAACAGCTTGTCTCGAAGTTTTTGATCAAATAAAATGTAAGTAGCTTTTGATTTTATTTAATTAGTAACTATTGTTCTAAAATTGAACAAAAAATTATTACTTAATAATGACAGCAGTTTCAACGGCAACTTAGTTTTATCAAGTGCAATAATTCATTTACCACGATTCTCTATCCATTCATTTTAGCCCAGCCTGGTTAAAAAAATGAAGCAGATATCTGAAGCTTTTAAGAAATTAAGCTTTTAATAATTTATGGTCACAATTTGATTTTTTGTCTATCAGTTTTCCCTTATATTTTACATAAACAATATTTATATCATTTATTTATATCAAGAATATCTTTATTTTCCCGTTTTTTAAATGAAAATTGATAAATAATTTACGAAGATAATTGCAAAAAAGTAGCTTTTTCCACTAATTTATAAATTTTATTAATTTTAACAAAATATATTTATCAATATCTTTAAGATATTAGTCTCTTATTTCTTTCTGTTTTTCAAGGTCTAATTCCATTTGGTTTTTCTTGTTTGTTACAATCGATAAGTGTTTGGGTTTCCATATTACAGCTACTTCTTTAAACTTTCTGTGCGGTTCTCTATATTTATGTTTCATTTGCAAATCTTCTATTCTCTCTCTCAATTTCCCTGTTGAGTTCTTTGTATCTTGTTAGGTTTTTGTTTTTTATCATTCGTCTCCTCTTACCATCAATTTGTAATATTTCGTTTGTCATCCATAGTTTTCTATGTTTACTGTTTTCTTTCTGTATACTTTGGTCTGCTGCCTCCAAGACAGTATTTATAATTTTCCTCCACATATCTTCAATTGTCTTCATGTCTTCATACTTCTGTTGCTGTCCTTGGTCAGCACTATTCATGCTATTCTCTGACTGGGTTTAGCCTTGTCTATCTCTTTTGAGTTTTAATCGGATAGTTGCGACTACAGGATTGTGGTCTGAATTTATGTCACAGCTTGGTGTACGTTTTTACATTTAGAATACCATTACAGAACCTTTTGTTAATTGTAATGAAGTCGATTTGGTTCCTCACAATATTTCCTTCGTAATATTGAGGAGACCTCCACATATATAGACGTCTCTTAGGTAATTTAAACCATGTGTTAAGAACCACCAGGTTGTTCTCTTGGCAAAATTCAACAAAGCGTGTGCCTGGTTCGTTCCTGGTTCCTAAACCATATGGGCCGATGATCGATTCGAATTTTTCTGCTCCTACTGTGGCATTCTAATCTCCCATAAATATGTTGATGTCGTCTGATTTTATGTGTTTTTGATACTTTCAATATCGGAATAGAAAATCTCAAGATCTTCGTCTGGGCTGTCTGCTGTCGGTGCGTATATTTGTATTATATTGATGTCGAATGGTTGTCCATTTAATTTCATAATCATTAATTTGTCGCTGACTGGTAGAAAATTTTTCGTGTGTTGTTTCATAGATGCTGTTAACAACACTCCTATACCTGACTGAGCATCATTATCTTTGCCTGCATAATAGAAACGGTTGCCATTTACTGTAGACACATATCCTTCTCCTTTCCATCTCACCTCGCACATACCAAGTATGTCCCACTTCATTCGTCTCATCTTGTTTCCAACATTTGCTAGTTTGCCTTCTCTATATAAAGTTTTTACATTCCACGTAGCAATTTGAAGTTTCCTCTTTCCTCTAGCCATATTAACTGTTTTGGGAATTTAATGCGATGGTTTCCCACTTGCCTTTCGCATCTTATGCCGTTATTCCTAAGAATAACGTTTAATGCTTATACCGGATTTATTACGAGCTAACATAATAATTTAATAAATTTGTTTAAAATATAAAAAAAATGTTAAATAATAAAATTACTTCGTTCAATTATAAATATATTGAGTGAGAAATGGCAGCAAATATTTGATTTCACGCAAACAAATCCTATGTATCTCTTGATACGTATTTCGACCTAATAGGTCTCGTCAGAAGAGCTATTCATAGGGGTTCTCAACGTGAAAAATCAATATTTTCTGCCTTTTAAGAAGCAACAATAACATGGCTTCAATACGGACGCACTAGCGACATCTAATTAAACAATCGTAAAATAGTTTCGAAACACAATTCAGATTTCTGCTTTATAATCTGAGCCTTCTAAGAATTGCAAGGCAAACAGACGTTGATAAAAGATGTTAAAAGAGACATGGAGAATCTAAAATTTGCATTCCACGACATATCTTTTACAACTAAGCAGAAATCCTTAGCGAATTGTACTTCTAGTACTCACACAGAGTAAATCCGAATAAAATGAGAAAAGGCAGCAAATATTTGATTTCACGCAAACAAATCCTATGTATCTCTTGATACGTATTTCGGATTTACTCTGTGTGAGTACTAGAAGCACAATTCGCTAAGGATTTCTGCTTAGTTGTAAACGACATGTCGTGGAATGCAAATTTAAGATTCCCCATGTTTCTTTTAACATCTTTTATCAACGTCTGTTTGCCTTGCAATTCTTAGAAGGCTCAGATTATAAAGCAGAAATCTGAATTGTGTTTCGAAACTATTTTACGATTATTTAATTAGATGTCGCTAATGCGTCCGTATTGAAGCCATGTTATTGTTGCTTCTTAAAACGCAGAAAATATTGATTTTTCACGTTGAGAACCCCTATGAATAGCTCTTCTGACGAGACCTATTAGGTCGAAATACGTATCAAGAGATACATAGGATTTGTTTGCGTGAAATCAAATATTTGCTGCCTTTTCTCATTTTATTCGGATTTACTCTGTGTGAGTACTAGAAGCACAATTCGCTAAGGATTTCTGCTTAGTTGTAAAAGACATGTCGTGGAATGCAAATTTTAGATTCCCCATGTCTCTTTTAACATCTTTTATCAACGTCTGTTTGGCTTGCAATTCTTAGAAGGCTCAGATTATAAAGCAGAAATCTGAATTGTGTTTCGAAACTATTTTACGATTGTTTAAATATATTACTTATATTTTAAAAGTACAGAAAATATAGTAGGACGCTCCTACAGTACTACCTACTCTTCCACTTTTTTTACTTATTTTCTTGATTTTATTATTTCGGATAAAACACGCAGTAGAAGCAGCATCTTTAGTACCAATCCCAAAAAAGTTATTTACATCCACTATTTTATCTAACTTAGTCAAATTAATATCGTTGGATATTGGACGACTTACGCACATATCAACATATCATTTACATTTCATTATGTAATTTTGAATTTTTACATTCGGTAAACAGGTATTCAGTTTTAGATTGACCACGTTGTAGTATTGATTGCGTATTCGTCGTGTTGATACAAAAAAAATAAATAAAACAAACTGTATTATCAGAAAAATTAGCGATGTTCTGACATTTTTCTAATCAGTTCGTAAAAAACATCGTGGTTCAAGGATGTCTTAAAATAAATAGTACTTGTGTGACTTACAAACACATGTAAGTTAGTTATCTTTATGTTATAATATGATATAAGATATATGTGATGTGATTTGAGAAAAACATTAAAAATATCAAAGTGATTGTACCAATAGGTGACTGCGAAGACACAGAAATCCTAGTCCAGGGATGTTGTTTAGTTAAGTGGTATATTTTTATAAAAAATATATTTTTATAAACTCTAAAATAGATATCTTAAGGGCACAATCAAGTTGTATAATCACGGTAAGTTTTAAAGCTTCTTTTAGCGATGGATATAGTCCAGAGTGTTTTTCATACACATTTTTTCAATGCTCACAATTTTTCTTTAAAATCTGTTATACTTATTCCTTCTGGTACCGTTTTGTTCTTATTAAATAATGAGCAATTATTATGCTTATTCCAGTTCAACTGCCAGCCTTATTCCAGAAAAAGTTCAACTGCCACCTTCCTGTACCATTTAATGCTCCGTCTATCCATCACAGTCATTAACATCTTAGTAGATGTGTTGTGGTTCATAATTGGGCTTCAGCAGCTCGGACAGTTTGATTGATAATATTTCTCCACTGGTCGCGGTCATCAGTTATATGTATTGCCTCAGTATACTGTTTATTGAGAAGCTTTTTAGTAATGTCCGCCCATCGCTGTGGAGATCTTCCGCGTTGGCGTTGAGTCTGAGGCCTTCCTTGGACCACCAACCGCTCCATTTTGTGATCACTTCGATGGATATGGCCAAAGAACTTTAAAATTCTAGAGTAAACGGTACTGGAGAGACGCTGATCTGGTTTAATTTCATCCAGAACCGAGATATTTGTACGGCGAGCCGTTCATGGAATTCAAAGCAGGCGTCTCCATGTCCACATTTCAAAGGCGTCTATACGTCGTCGATCTGATTCTTTGACTGTCCATGTCTCGCATGCATAGTAAAATATGGAAAAGACCAGAGTTGAAACGAGTCTCTTTTTGTTTGTCATAGTAATGTGACGATCACGCCAGACCCCGTTTAGTTCACTCATTGCTGCTCTTGCTAGTTGAATGCGTCTTCTAATTTCGGATTCACAACTGCCTGTGTTGTTAACTAGAGCTCCAAGATATATCATAGATGAGACTACCTCGCATCCCGCAATAGTTTGGGTTTCAGGAAACTGTTGTTGGCGATCAATAAACATGATTTTGGTTTTGTTGTAGTTAACCATGAGTGAAAATTTAGCACTTTCTACCTCGAGTTTTTTTAATAATTTAGTAATTTCTTCTGGAGTAGAGGCTAGAAGTGTAGTGTCGTCTGCGAAACGCAAGTTTGATAATTTAACACCACTTAGGTTTACTCCTCCCTCCCAACCATCCAAAACTCTGCGCATTATGAACTCCGAATAGATGTTAAATAATAAGGGAGATTGTCAGACAGATGTCCGTCCATTCGAATATATGCCAGGTTATCTTGATACAGTTTGCTAATAAGGTGAGTCAAGTGTTTAGGTACACCCATTGTCGTCAATATGTTCCATAGTTTGTCCCATCTAACATTATCAAAGGCCTTTGTATAATCGACGAAACATATAAATATCGGGATCTGGTATTCTCTGGCTTTTTCTATGATGTTTCGTACATCATAG